TATATTTAACAAATCTATATTTAAAAAAACTACATCTAAAGAAACTGTATCTGAAAAAATTGCAACCAAAAAATTTGTCTATTATTCTATATTTGATTAATCTATATTTAAAAAATATGATAATAGTTAAGAATCATAACAAGAACTTGTTAGCATATTTATAAATCATACTCAAACTTGTAGTAAAAATCAATTTTTATTATATATACTTGAAGAATAAAAAGATTATTGTAAATTTATCTTGCCTTTTACTATATATATAATTAAATAAAAAAAAAGATATCTTCTAAGAATATTAATTTTATAAAACTTTATAAAATTTATAGAAACAAAAATAGAGCTTGGTCTGAGTATTATGCTTACTCATATATTAGAACAAAGCAAATAAGTACTAATTGTATAGAAGGTGATATTTCTTAAAAAAGACAATGTACTTAAAAAAATCAAAAAAATTAAATATAAATATATATTGTAAATTAATTACTAGTTAGCAATTTGTTTTAAGATTGTTGTAACTCAAGATTGGTATAAGCATAATAGTCATATATTAAGTAATTATGCTGATATTTAGTATTTAAAAAAATTATAAAAAGTAATTGATCAAATAAGGCAATTCATTTGTCAAAAATTATTTTTTTATTACTTTATTAATTAATAAAAGCCTTTAAGAAAACAATTAAAAATATATATATATATTTATTTATTGTTTATATAATTTTGAATTATATTGTATAACTAAATATTTTTTTATAGATATTTTACTTCAAATAATATTGTACTAAATAGAAACCAAATATTTATCTATTGTTAGAGGGGTTTTAGGTTTGTGGAATACAGAATCAAGAAAAATGTGATGAAATAGCACTTAAAAATACCAAATATTACAAATGTTGCACTATGAAAGAAGCAGAATGATTTGGCAAGGCTAAGACATGAGTGCAAGGTCTTGGTTTATTAATGAGATAGGTTTTATTATTAGTACAGCTATTACTAACAATATCTATTCAAATGTTTTCTTCTTCTAACTCTAAGAAAAAAAAGCACTTATATACAAGAATGGCACTTTACAAAAAGAGACAACACAGGAGCCCAAGATCAAACATTTTTTACTGAACTTAATGGTTTCAGATTCATCATTATGATCAGAATCTTGAATGGCCTCATGCAGCACAAACAACTAGCCCAATCAGGCAGATCTTCTCCAACAAATAGCTATAGTTTCTGATTCTGCATCATTATGGCATTATTTCAGATAGGCAGCTTGGCTTCCAAGTTTCTTAAGATACAATTAATGTACAATTGTTTTCTTGTTTTAGGGTGTTCTTACTATAAGAGAGCATGGATCAGGGTAGCACTAGGTTAGAGCAATTCTGGTATTCATTTTGCCTTTAATGCTATAAAGATATTTATAATATAATTTATAAGAAGTTTTATTTAAAATAATTTAGATAATATCTTTTAAACTGTAGACTATTTTTAGAAAATTTGTTTAAAAAATTAACAAATAATCTATATTACTTAAATTTTAAAATATTTAAATAAAATTTTTTTGATAATATTTAAAAATAAGAATTATAAAATAATAATATTTAATTTAATATTATAAGAAAAAAGTTTAAGTTACTTATAAGCTACAAATAGACAAATTTAAAAAAAAATTTTAATTAAAAAAAATATTTACTAATTCTTAATGAACTCTTTAAATAGTAGTAAAAATACTACATAATTATCACCAAGAAACTGTTCAATATAAATTAAATGTTAAATGAATAGGTTTATACTGAAAAAACTACCAAAAAATTTAAAATTAATTCAAATAGTATTGATAATACCTAAATTTTTTGATTAGAAAAATCTACATATATTGTTAAATTAGCTTAAGTTAAAGATAATTATCTAGTTGAATATACTAATAAAAATGTTTTTAATTTGATTTACAATTGTAAAACTTATATAAAAAGCAATATATCATACAAGTACATGTTTAATGTTTTAAGAAAATATAAAATCCAAATACCTGAACATACTACCTATTTACCTTTGAATGAACATAATAATAATAGCATTAAAGTTGCTAATAATGTTGCTACTGATGATATCACTAATATCCAAAAAGAAAAAGAAAGGTCTGATGAGTTGAATGGTAGTATTGATCAATAGATAAATGATTAATAATGCTTCATTAGGAAATGGATTTAAATAAAGTTACATTAAACAAAAAAAAATGTAATTTGCAAGTTTAAAAATTATGCAATATTTTCTTACATGCACAGCAAAATTCTTCACCACACATGTAATTTAATTGTACAAATGATTAATAATACTTCATTAGGAAAATTGATTTAAATAAAGTTGCATTAAACAAAAAAGAAAATGTAATTTGCAGCCTTAAGTAATTATATAATATTTTCTTACATGCATGGCATTTAATTTAATTGTGCAAAATAAAAAAATTTTTTACAGTATAAAAATTATAGTATTATCAAATATAAAATAATCTATCGTAAAAATGCTTGACATTAATTTAAAATTAACCAATCAGAATTTTGGATCCTGGTCAAGGAATCAGACCGGGGACCCCGGAACCGGAGGCCGGAGGGCCGATTTTCGCTTAATCTGACATAATTTCTTAGATAACTAAATTAGTTTGTGTAACATCTTAATAATTATTGTGGGAGTTTCCGTTTCACAACATATTTATATTAGATTACATATACCGGAGGCAAAATTCAAATTTTACCGTTATACTAAATTTATAGTTCTTTCAAAGTAATAAAGTTACTAAGAAAAATTCCTTATTAAAATATCTAAACAAATATCTTATTTAAATATTTGATAGATTTTAAACTAACTATAGCTTTCAAAATGATGATGTTACCGAACGAATGCCTTTTTGAAATATTCAAAAATTTTAAAACTAATTATTATTCTAAAACCTTATTTTCGTGCCTTCTTGTAAACCGTCGATGGTGTAGAATTATTATACCAATATTATGGAGCGATCCTACAAATTATTGCAGTGATAAAAGACTTATAGGAATATATCTTTCAGCATTAAATACTGAAGAGAAAGCTTCATTAATCCCCTTTAAAATTATTCTTCCAAATTATCAAAGGACATTATTTGAGTACGTGAGTTATACAACATCGGTTGGTCCTTATTTTTATCGTGGAGTTAGAAATTGGCTTAAAAATGAAGGATATAATGTTCAAACATATGATAATTATGATGATAATTTTACAAATGCTATTAAATGCTCTTTAATTACAATGTTTCTGCGGGCAAGTAAAAATCTTAAACATTTAAAATTTAATAATGTTGGTAATAACGCAACGTTAGCAGATGTACTTTATAAAAGTACCACATTATATTCTTTGAATCTCCAACGTAATAATCTTGGATCAGAAGAAGGAAAAGTATTAGCAAATGCAATTTGCAAGACCACTACATTAACTTCTTTGGATCTTCGAGGTAATAATCTTGGATTAAAAGGAGGGAAAACATTAGCTGATGCACTTTGCAAGAATGCCACGCTTACTTCTTTGAATATTAATTATAATGAACTCGGTCCAGAAGGAGGAAAAGCATTTGCGGATGCACTTTGCAAGAACACTACGTTAACTTCTTTGAATCTTCGAGATAATAATCTTGGATCAGAAGGAGGAAAAGCATTTGCTAATGCACTTTACAAGAATACCACGCTTACTACTTTGAGTATTCATCATAATCAACTCGGTCCAGAAGGAGGAAAAGCATTTGCGAATGCACTTTGTAAGAATACTACGTTGGTTTCTTTGAATATTAGCGGTAATAACCTTAGCTTAGAAGGAGGAAAAGCATTAGCAGATGCACTTTGCAAGAATACAACGCTGACTTCTTTGAATATTAATTATAATCAACTCGGTCCAGAAGGAGGAAAAGCATTTGCTGATGCACTTTACAAGAATACCACGCTTACTACTTTGAGTATTCATTATAATAAACTCGGTTCAGAAGGAGGAAAAGCATTTGCGAATGCACTTTGTAAGAACACTACGTTGGTTTCTTTGAATATTAGTGGTAATAACCTTAGCTTAGAAGGAGGAAAAGCATTAGCAGATGCACTTTGCAAGAATACAACGCTGACTTCTTTGAATATTAATTCTAATCAACTTGGTCCAGAAGGAGGAAAAGCATTTGAAGATGCACTTTGCAAGAACACTACACAGATTTCTTTGAATCTTTCCGATAATAATATTGGATTTGACGAAGGAAAAACATTGGCAAATACACTTTGCAAGAACACTACTCTGAGAAAATTGATTATTGAAAATAATAATCTTGGATCTGAAGGAGGAAAAGTATTTGCAGATGTACTTTGCAAGAACACTATACTGAAAGAATTGCATATTCATTATAACAAAATAGGATTTAAAATAAAATCAAGCAATCCTAATGTTATTATATATCAATAAAGCAAAAAATTCAATAAAGTAATAAATAAATAATTTTATGTATTTAGATTAATTGTCCTATTTGTAAATAGGGAGTAAAGTGAAAGAGATTTGTTGAGTGAGTGAGTGTGTGTGAAGCCGATTATGACAATATCTTATTGAGCCATTATGAATATCTTATTAATAATAATTGAAAGAAATTAATAATTTCAAGTTGTCGAAATAAACGAAAGAGAACTTCAGATCAAGTGTGAATCAAAAACAAGCACCAAAAATAAATGCGTTATTTAGTTTCAAAGATATCAGTAAATTTGTAATTCTTTGGCATTCTTAGAAGAAGCTAATGGATAATATGAAAGTGGAATGGGTAGGGTGAATTAGAATTAAAAATGTTAAATATTAATAAATTTATTCAATTTCACGTTCATCACTAAGAATAATTAATTAAAAAAAATTTTAAAAAAACTTTTATTGAAAGAAGAATTAAGATTTGATCACAAAGCTTAATGTTTCCTAGTAATACAGATGATGTAAAAAATTTAATATAATTCACTGGTGAACAAGATTTACTCTACTTTCCTGACGAGTTTTGCAAATGTTGTCATAAAGGCAAAATTTCCTATACCTCCAGTGAGTATACCCTCTAATCTCACATGAGTAAGCGTTGAAGGACCATCATCGCTATATTCCAAATAATAAAGGTCTCCAATATTTCCATTGTCGTTTGCAGTATGTATAGCATACAAATCTTTAGTCTAAAGCGGAGAAGAATCACGTGAATATGAGCCAATCAAATTATAGAATTTTGATGATCGCCGGCGAAGCAAAACAGGAAATAAAAATGAAAACCCCCAAAAATACGAAAAACGGCAGTCTAAACCTGCCTCAGGTAGGTTAATTAAAAATGTTGGGAAGGCAATTTTGCTTATATTTAAGTATCTAAAAACCCAACCTAGCCCTAATATAAGAGTGGCCCTAACACTAAAGTTAATTCAATAAAATACGTATATTATAAAGAATCTACTCCGCTTTAGACGTCCCCAATATTTAAACGGTTCAATTTGAAATGATATTTGTCATCGAAAAATCTAAAATTTTGAAATACAAATAGATTTGTCAAACTCTCGTTTAATTTAAAATGTGCCACTTATTTGTTAACTTTGAAACCCACTATTATTAATTTAGCTCTTCTGACCGATGACAAATTGCAGTCGGTAATATGCCTGAAAGGCACTATCGTAATCGACAATCGAGGGTGCAATCACGAAGTTCCTTCGAACTTTAAATTTTTTCTACAACAAAAAAGAAAGAAATTATTAATACATAACAAAATACTGAATAAGACAAACTTTTAAAGTCCTAATTGTCGTATCAACAATTATTACAGTACACGAATCGTAAAACATGAATTAAGTTAATTTTGAATGATATTAATACAGTTCAAATGTAAGTAATAGAAAAAAGCTTCTAAAGCATGAAAACATCTAATTAACCATGTTCTAAACTTTTGCGAAACAAGATAAGTGAAAGTACTCAAAGACTTTAAAAGAAATCTTTATTTAATTTGAATCAACTTTAACATTTTCAAATATATATATTTTAGATGGAATCAGAATTTAAACGGATTTGGTATTTCCTTAGGGTTGTTATGGGCTTTCATATGATAAAATCAGCCCCAAAATGCTGTACTGGTTATACATAAAATTTTGAATTCACTTAAATTCTGTTTCCACTTACAACATAATATAACGGTAAATAAATAATGATAAAGCTACGAATGGGAAAGGAATCAATAAACAATTTATATTGTATACATAATAAGGATCCGAGGTTAGAAAATTATCGCCCGCATCCTCGATTATTAATGACGCTGGTTTTTTTGTATACACATATGTACGTTGTGATGGCTTTTACACGTTACAGATTAAATTACAAGAGATATGACTAATTAAAGTATTAAAAGGATTCTATGATTAGCGATGAGCATTTCATATACGTTTACGTGACTATTGCATTAGTTCCTATCATTTGAATACCAGAGAAACTTACTATTGTTTTCTGCATAGCAGACTTTTATTATGATTGGCAGATTTTTGCATATCATTTCGTGACATTTGCAAAACATGATTGGTTAATCGATATCAAAAATCGTTTAACGTTAAGATTTTTTATATAAAGCTAAATTATTTTTATATAAGACTAAATTTGTCTTAATAAAACAATACAATTAATAATCTAAGACCATAAGCCCAGCACAAGATCCCGTAAACCAAGAGTTTATTAAATACATACACGAATTTAAAAAAAAAAAAAATAGAAATAATAAAATAAAAGTTACAGAATTACAAAAACCAAATTGAAAACATTTAAATCAATCTTAATCGAAATACTAGTTTTATTGACACCAAACTATTTGACCCTAATAAACTTAATAACAATCAACGTGGCATCATATTCTAATCGCGAAATTTACAAGCTTATACTTTATTACTTCGTGTCGCTAGGCTTGTTACTAAATTATTTCACTACTTCGTGTTGCTAGGCTTATGACTAAATTATTTTGCTAAATCATTTTACTAAGGTACCGTCTGGGCTTATAACAAAATAAATTAGTGAAAATAAGTCAAATTACTAAACTTATTAGATTTGTATATTATATTTTTTATGTTCAGACATTGCCTCCGAATTACTTTGACAGTTTATTAAGTAAGACGTGAAGTTTCTAATTTTGTTTGTCTTACCTTCTCGAAATTCAATCTTGTGACGGAAAATCGTTACTTTTAATGATAAGGTGATCTACATAAATTAGCCAATCAGAATGAAAATCCGCTATGCTATTGTTTCGTCTCGAGCCAAATGCCGATCAAGGTCCCGAATCATTTATGGATGACTGGCCAGGTTACCCCGTCAGAACTTGCATGAATAAATATATCCATACTTATACTTAGAAATGATCTACTGAAGATAAACGGTTCTTACATACGTATTTAATAATGAAATGCGAAAACTGTCAACTTAATAAACTTTCAGAAGAATTTCCATTTGGTACAATTAGCCCCACATGTGAACATGTCACATCTTGGTGTTTAAAGGTATATCTTTAATAACATGTTTAAATATATTATTTATATTATTTAATTTGTCTTTTTTTTATTAGTGTCTTGTAAACCACCTAAAAGAAACGCATAATCATCATCAATGTCCTATATGCGAGACTGAACTGACCGAACAAGAATTTAATGAATATTGCTTGCTTTGGGACAATGCAAATTTTAAAATTGATTTTAAAAGTCCCTCACAAATACATACCAAAGTTTCTGAACAAAATAATATAAATTCCGGAAATAATCCTGGAATATTTTACGTTGTCCGATTAAATGGTGAAAAATTTGAATTAAGTCTCTCTGAAATTAATACTGTCAAAGAGCTAAAATATAGATTAATGAATTATACTAAGATAAATATTGATAAACAAATGTTAATTTATAAGAACTTTGAACTCGATGTGCGTAATTTATTTATTTATAACTTTTGTATTAAATACGTATTTTACTCATCATTTTTCTATACAGGATGAAACTGGTAATACACTCACAAGTTATGGAATCTGCGCAAATAGCCATATTCAACTTGTCGTCGTACTTTATTCTATCTCCAAAAAGGATGCTTTAAAAAATTTAGTATTCGATTTATATTGGGGCTTTCCCGCTTCAGGTGTAGACTTTCTTGATGGTTCCTGTTTAATTTATGAAGGTAATAAATTATGGAAAACATACGACTATAAACATAAGGTTTATTCCGATATATTATATATCTCGCATTCCGGTGATGACATAGATAGGAATAATGGTTTGTCCTAATATTATCCTCCATCGTTTATCACATTTTTATATGTATTTTGATAATTTTAAGTCATCTTCACAGCTACAGGACATCATAAAGTTCAAATAAAACTTGATCAACTTCCTCCTAGTGTTACGCAGCTTTATTTAATCTTAAGCTCATTTAAATCTCAGACAATTGAAAATTTTCGGAATCCTAGCTTTAAGTTATATGATGAAGAGAACCCGAATAAGCAGTTATGTGAATATAATATACATAAAGCTGGCAAATCACGAGCGGTTATAATGTGTCTTATTGATCGATCATATTATGGTGAGCTTCTAATGTTTTGATGCTAGGATTTTTTTATTTTAAGGTTGTATGTTTCATAGAACATCTCTTATTTGGTTGTAGGCGGCAAGTGGAAAGTAATTGAAGTAGGTAGATTGTCAGAAGGAAATGTCATGAACTATAGCCCAATAATGGAAAATATCAAAGACCTTATTGAAATTTAAGTCGAAAATGAGTTTTACTAGAGAAGGGCAAGTTCATTAAAATATTGCCCCCTAAAGTTTATTTTTCACCAAATCTGTTGATAGCAAGTAATAGATAAAATTACATTTACGGTACTCAACTAAGTCATTGAAGGGCAAATTCAGGGTATTTTATTTAGTTGGTTTACATTTATTTATTACTGACATTGATGATCAAATAAAAATAATCCATAAAAAGATAATAACTAAACCTGGTAATCATTACAATCCAAGTTAACTGGAGATCCAGTGGAATGTGCAAACAACCATTTTGCCAACTATTCACTACGAGATGTCTTCAAATACCCATAAATAGCAATACTGACTCTATGTCAGGCATCAATATCCTCATGGCCAATAGACACAAAAGTGTCTGGCATTATTAAAGGCATGGACATAATTAAAGGCACGAACATAAAGTGTCAGGCACAGATACAATTATTACTATCAAAGTTTTATGCCTGTTTCAAATTTTGGTGTTTGTGCCCATTCTCATGTCAAATTTTCTGCCCATGTCCATTTCTTAATACTCATGATCATGCCCATGCCTGTATTTTTGTTAGGCACAGACGCGAGTCTGGGTTGTAAACCCATAAGCGCTACCCATAATATGAAGTCATATTATAAATAAACTTTCCAAATAATGGCTTTTTTTTTATCAGTCTTGCATATGTCAACCAAAATGCTTGGCTTAAAGTTGGAATTATTCAGAAACTGTTATACAGAAATAAAATTTATATGAGACGATCGAATAAAACTAAATATTATTTTGGATAACAAAATTGTTTAGAAAATGAATATACATTCTCCTATCGTCACTGTCTAATATTTTTCATTGGTTAAAATTTAATTTGCAGCGCATTCTGATCTGTTATTTAAAGTGCCCATAGTTATATGTAATAACTGAAGCTGAAATTTTAATCTATTTCACTATGAAAATTTGAATTTTTTTTGGGTCGCTTGTATAGTCTTTTTAGGGTTAAATTAGGATTTAGGGTAAGCAATAGTAATAAAAGAGTATATATGAACTTTAGTAAGTATTATAAAGTTAAATAGGAATCCTACCAACAATTTCATTATAAGCTGTCACATTAAATATTGGATTTTTTATTTATCAATAGTAGAGATGTTAATAAGTCCTTTGGGATCGAGTCCTAACCGATCCTGACCGGGATGGATATACAGCACAAGCCTAATCTAAATTAATTACTAAAAAAAACAAAGTAGCATTTGAATAAATATTTATTTTTATTCAATATAATGCCCAATAAAATTTTGTAATGCTAACCGAATTTTTCGATATAGTATAATTAGTTTTAGTATAAAGTATAATTACTAAAATTATCAAGATAATTATATTTTATTTTGTAATATTATAAGCTAGAATAGTTTGTATTAACTGTTTAAATAACTAATTGGTAATTTCCTTTCTATCTGAAGAAAATTCTTATATATGTAAACAAATTATTTTTATAAACCTCTACTATAACTTTTTAAAATATGAAATGTCTTCCTTTATTAAACAACATATAATATATCATATCTTAGCTTACACAGTTTAAACAAATAAAAAATAGGTAGATAATAAATAATAAAATACCAATTTTCTATTATATACTTTATATTTTATTTATGTATTTGTTAAATAACTGTAATATAATGATAGCATATTAGCAGCATAACAGTAAAATATTAGAAGATAAGGCAATATCAGTAACATAATAATAACATATTAGCATAATAATAGTATTTTTTTTTTTGCTTTTACTAAGGCTGTTGTTATTAGTAGCTACTGCTTTTATTGTGTTTTTAATTATAGTTGTATAACTTGTGCAAGGTAAATGTGCAACCAGACATGCATGCAACTTTTGGTTATCTATTTAAGTAGTTTGCCTGCAGGTTCTACATTAATTTCATACCTGTAATTTGTTAGAAAATTACCTAATTAAACAGTTTAATTCTTATACTATATCTGACAAATAGTGCACAAGTTTCTGTATATTCATTAAGCTATTAAACATTTTAGAGTATATCATCTGACTGTAAGACACCAGAAGGTTTTTCTGTTAACTAGATTACTTACTTAATAGGATATTAATAGAGGTCAGCTTTGTAGTATTCATTCAGATTCTAGTATTAAGTTTATAGCATATCTCTAGTACTTATAATATATTTCTGTTTTTATTATCAGACTTCCAATCCAGAAAGTCTAATAAAACTATGACCTGTTCTTGGTATACCAAGTCTAGTTCAATATTCTTTTTCTTTAGTTCAAAATTTTTGATAACCTGGTTTATAATACCTCTCGATTCAGGTTTTTGGTCACTTATTTCTTCTATATTGATATCTATTTTCTAGGTTTAACCTTTATAGTAATACTGTTAAAGATTTATATTATTTCTTTACTTAGATCTTTCCAAATAAGTTTCAGTTTTCTCAACTCTATAGATTTATATAGTTATAAACATTTATTTTGGGTTTGCACTATCTAGTATCAATTTGCATTTTTCTATTGTTGGGTTCAGATAACTGCAATTCTATTACTTCACAATTCAAAATAACATATAACATAAGGTAGATAACTTTTTAAAAGAAGATATTAGATTTGGCTAATGGGTGGTTTAGGCTTTCAGTTACTTAGAATCAATAAATACAAGTAAGATAAATCATGTGAACAAGAACTTGCATGAACAATGATGTTTATAGAGGTTTGCAAAGTTTAAACAGGAATAGTGTTAGTATTTTATTATAAGCATTATAATGTATTAGGACTTGTATTTTAATAAAGTCAACAAAGCATACTGTTTCTAAGAGCCATTTTGACCTTTATTTATAATATAAAATTTGTTGCTTACAAATGTAACTTCATACTTATTATTTCTTAAAACTAATTAAAACTATTTATAATGATTTATTTAATATCCTTAAAGATGTGTAATTTGTCTTTACATTCTCTTCTTATTCCTTATCTACCTTTTGGATTTGAAATACCATTTACAATTCTAAAATAACTTATTACACTTATTGTATTTCATGCATTTTTCATGTAATTGGTCACAATATTCAGTATTACAATATCTGTTATTACACTATGTAACCAGATATATAAATGCCTCTTGACCTATTAGTCATGTTGATATAACCATAGTTATAAAGATTTTATTCAAACTGATTGACAAAATGCTGTTGTTATAAGACAAATGTATTTTTTCAAATTTTGTTTCTGGTAGGTTTTGAACTTACAAACTGCTGCTTAGAGAGTTAACAACTTATCAACTTTACTAAATGATTACATGTCTATAATAGTATGTTCAAATATTTACTTTTGGTTATATAAACTAAAAAAAATTAAAATATTTTAATATTTTATTATGTTAACTAATATATTATTTTTTTTTATTAACATATAAGCAGTCATGCTAGTACTTTATTAGGTTTTTGAAATTATATTTGTAAATATATTATTATTATATTATTAATATTAATTTATTTTTTAATATTTTATTATTATATTGTTAATATTGTAAACTTTTAGAAAATTGTAACTTAGTTGCTTTATAATTCGAAATATTATATAATTAACATTAAGTAACTTTATGAATTCTTAATACAAATTATAATAAAGATAAAGGCAAATCCTCATTTTAAAAAAAATAAAATAACATTTTATATTGCAATTTTTATATTTAATTCAATTATTATAAATTATATGCATTAAAAATTAGAGTATATAGATTTTTTTCATATAGTTTTATAAAGTATTTTAAAATTTTTATATGAAATTAATAAAACTTATTAAATTACAACTAATTTTTATTAAAATTTTATAAACCAATTTGTTTAATATTCTAATTTTTTTAAATTTTAACAAAATTTTCTTAATAATTGTTAACTAAATTTAATAGGTTTTATTTAATTCTATAAGAATATGAATTTTGATAAATTTAATTATGTAATTATTTGAAGAATCTTTTATAAATTCTTGAAATAGCAACATGGGTGTTATTTCTGAATTAAACTTTGGATCAAAATTCGAAATAACACCCATGCTCTATTTTGAGAATTTATGGTATCAGTCTTAAATAAGAAATTTTCAATTTACATGATTCTGATTGATGCATTTTTGTAGATTCCAAAAAGAAAAATTTTAATCATGATTGCTAACCATTTTTCATTGTTACTTGAATTGTGGTCACATCTACCTAAGTCATGAACTTGATCACCTTTAGACTGATTTCATAGTATTTATTGGTTCGGCCAGTCCGTCTTTCAGTCCTTAAATCGGTCCTAGGACTTAAAATTTTTTTTAACACTTAACATAAATGTTATTTATTAGTTGACAAAATTTTAAATACATATACTTAAATATAATTATTATATATTTTATATGCGAAGCTAATTTAATATTACGAATTAATATTAAAATTAAATAGATTTGAACTAGTGTGACCTGCTATGAAGAATGCTTGTTCCGAAGCTACACCGGTAGCTTGTATAGCCAAATAATCTCTTGTAGTCAAATTTAGAGTAGGGTATCTTGTTTGCGCTTGCCACCATACCAACGGTAATAGTAAATATTTTTCTAGCTCATTTAGTAGGCTACCTGATTGTAATTTATGTAGAATATAGGAAATGGGAAGAACTGAGAAATTTTTGTTATCGCTTATGATTGAAAGAGTTATAAAACTTCTATTATTGTTGATTTATTTTCTTTTATCAATTTTTATTAGTAGGTATAATTTATCATCAGGCTGTAACCAGGACCAGACGACTACGGACCAACCAGGGATTGAGAATCATTTCAGGCCTCAGTTTTTTACCGTCCGGTCCCAGTCTTTACGAGGACTGATCCATTCCTACATCCATCGTATAGCACTGCATAGAGTTGCCCCAAAATAATAATGCCCTCTTAGATTAAGACCCGGGTATTCTTCACTCATTTGACTTAATTCTTGAATAATATTCGGGGTATACGTAACTATATTTGATTAACTAATTTCACATGATATATCTCCAAAACATACTACCAGGTTTCATAATTTTAAAAAACGAAGTTCTTGAATAGAACCACAGGTACTATAAGCATTGTCATACTGTATACTCTAGAAATCGTAAATGTTTTTCCTTATACATACTTAATTTTGATAGCGAAACTAGGTAAGCCAGAAAAATCAATATATATATATATATAATGTGACTTTACATTGAAAACCATTAATCTTCTGTCGGAAACATTACTCCGAATTTCATTATTGGCATACCATAAGTGAATATTTGTCATTTGTATTAATTAATCAAAACAATAAAATTGAATAGTCCTTATAAATAAATAAACCAAGTACATATGTACGT